CTCACACGACGCCCTTTGGCTATTTCAGCCCAAAATGTCCCTTTGATGGGGGTTCATGCCAATTTGTCTGGGCGTCGCCCGGTCGGCAAATTAAGCGTTCCTTAGGAGGACAAAGAGTGGTCTGCAAGGCTGTGGCCAAACCTCAACCCATCAAATTCCTTTTTTCCTAAAAGTACAACATGTTAAAGTCAAGTGCCCAAAGTTGTCATAATTGTGCTGGGCACGTAGGCGTAACTCCTGCATCTGGCTTGGGTCATCAGAATTGTGGTGGAAAGTCGTAAGTCAAATTGCTAGACAAAAGTCGCCGCGTTTGGTTATTTTCAAATCGTAAATCTAATTTCGGCTTGGGGCTATCTTTGAAACAGCGTTGAAAGTCCATTGATATAACACCTGAAATGGCCATTTGTATTCACTTATTAGTCCGCTTCTGTGAACATTGTGTGACCAAGTCCCTAAAATCGAGTTGAGCGTTCTAGATGGCAGTTTATATATGCCAAGGTCAGAAGACGCACTGTGTCGCAAATCACATCATTGCTTGTGTAATGACATTTTTTTATTCAATTGCTATCTGGTTTCCTTTATGTGGGTTCACATAGCCAGGCGCCACGGATTTCTTAAAAATTATGTAACATAATAAGAATTAATATTATGTGATTTTTTTACCAAATTATGAGATAACCAGGTCACCTATTAGATTGCGAGATTTATTCATTATTCCTGACACTTTATGCCCTGTTGTGTATTAATATTTACTCGATACAATAAGTTGACTGTTCTTGTTGCATTTTAGGCTGGGTGTCGGTTTCGGGAATTGAAAGTAACTCCAGCGAAGGCAAAGGAATTCGTCTAAGAGCATGGACTCCTGGTGGAGTGGGTGTATGTCTGCGCCGGCCTCCACTTCTTCCATATGCCATCAGACGACGCGGCGCTCGACTTCTTTATCTCAGGGAGTATTCCGGCCTCTCCGCCAATGCCAAATTTGCACAGTACTCTCCTTCTTGACGTAGTCTGTGATTCGAAGGCGTAGTCACAAATTGGTTTGATGCGCCAGTTGCTTCGGTTGTATGTACCAAAAGAGAAAGAAGCGCTTCTCCCTACGCAGCACTTTGCACTCATTGACCGGAAATTATGTTGCTGTATAGACTATTTTTGGCCGAAAATCTTAGCCGTCACATACTTTTGTCACACTAATGGAAAGTCAAGATTTGTGCAGTGTTTCTTCATTTTTGGCAGGAACGTCAAAGTGTTAGTAAGCAATGTGTTTCGCTTTTGTTCACTATGCCTCATGTTCTCCCATCTCACAGACTTTCTCCTGCCAACCTAGGGAACTGATTTGTCGCTTGAATATCATCACGTGACACTACTTGGCTTCCGTCAATGGAGTTCTGGTGAGACTGAAACTTGGCAGTCTGTTGGGAAAGTCTGGTATTTGCGTGGGATAAAGCTCTGCCCCACGGCTAAAGCTATTCAGTGCCTCTTGGGCGTTCATGCTGTCCTTCTGCCATCCTGTATAGTATAATAATAGTCAATGACCAGCTCAAGAGTTTTCAGCAACGCGTGATGCAACGGGACGAGTAGGCCACGCCAGTGATCAATTAGTATCCATGTTTCTTGGAGTCTATCACACCAACGATGAAGCGATTAGGAGAAGTTGCATATTTGTTAGGGCGATATACACTAAAAATAATCCTGGGAGCGAAAACGAGGAGTTTTATGAGGCCCTAAGCTGAGAACAGTGATTACAAGCAATAGCATACAGTATTTGGAAGTGTAGTTCAAGTCCAACCAATCAACAGTCGACTTTTAACTCGTAATTCTAATGGAACTGCAAGTTTGTTCTCAATGAAGACATGGACTAAGCGAGGTGAAAAGGTGATTTCTCATTCTATGTGTCTCCAGCGGTGTCAGCCCAAATTTGACCATGCTTGAAATCAAGACTGGTAAGTTAAGTTAACGTTTTCGTGGAAAAGGCTCTTCAAATTGGAAACCTCAAAGAGAGCTCTGAGATTCTGTTAGTACAGTGCCAACAGCTCTGTTCAATCTTGCGAAAGAGCTCTGTCGGAATTGAACACCCTGCCGGCAATATCACCATGAAATGCTTTTGATGGCTTAGTAATCCGATACGAGCCAAAGTTTGAGCGTGGTTCCGTAATAGCGGTGATTTGGCTGCTGGGGTGCGTCTAAGTATGCCATAAGTAAGCCTAATCATTCTTTAGTGTCACGAAATTCTAAGTACGTTCAATTTCGGGTTTGATCCAAGCACATGAAGCACTATTTTTTACGGTGTTGCGGTAGATTAAACATCACTAAATGCAAGCAGTAGGCGTCTTTAATGCGAGTGCATGAATGGTTTACAGGTATTGTGTGGAAACCTCCAAGCAACATCACAAACTTCCACTTTGTGCACAACATAGCAATGGGCTGGTTCTGTCTCTGTTGAAGCTACCCACTGCCAAAAGTTCAGTAGATCTAGTTAGGATTAGACATGCGTTCTATTTTACAATTTCGCTGTCAAAATCGATTCTCAGGATGTCCATAATTGCAAATATTGCTTCCAAATGCGCCGTTTTAGTGTGACATAACTCCCCGCCTCACTGTGAATTTCGGTTTTCCCCAAAATTTCATATTCCTTTAAATGTACAAAACTGAATAAAGCAAGCGATGCTGTTCAGCTTGGCATGGTGGCCGCCTCCCCAGGCTCTGACAGCTTCAGCGTGGGTGTGTTTAGAATCGTAGACACCTCGTTAACTGAGATCATTTCTATCACATAACACGTCGTAAGCAGTAATCATATCATCAGTATGATTGTGGTTATTCTACGCTTGATGTTAGGCAGCCGCATCTCATCCGTGCTACAACTAAGACTTAGCCACGAAAAAGACGCATTCACTGTTGGGGCGATTGAGCTGAACAGAGTTTTTTAACCGAGGTGTTTCATTTAACGACTGTTGAGTTATTGAGTGTCCCCAAATCCGTATGTTAATATGCAAAAGAAGTGTTAGATTAATTACCGATTTTCAGTTGTGCTGGAAACCGAAAGCTCAAATAGCGTTTATTCCCGCGTACATCGAAACTGTAGTTGTCCGTTTCTAATGTCGAAACTACTCGGGTAAAAATGCTTTGGGGCCTTGTAAGCCCAATTGGCTTGCTCGCACTGCTTCACAACCCTTCTAGTTAGCGACCCGTAACAGCTCCAGAGCAGAGGGAAGAGAGACGACAGCGGTCACGACCGCTGATTAGCCTCAGGCCAGCCAAGCACGCCATTGTGTGTGGGTGAGTGCGCGTGCCTAAGCAGTGACTGACAACAGCAGTCAATGCAAAATAGACAACGGTCGTCGAAACCACTAATTCCGTAGGCAAGCTTCATTCACGCGTGATCAGTGACAACCCACTGCACGCTCCCCACATGCAAGATAATACTGCATCCAGGACTGAGCATGCATGTTTCTCGTTTGTTAAATTCCTGTAACTCCATGTCTGTTTCAAAATTGCTAGGTGATTGTCCCCTTACCCTCTACACGCAAACAAAGCTTATTTTCGTTTTTCACTCTTTCATTTTGCTTTTTATGTAAGATCTCATGGCTTCGAATCTAATTTAGCTTGGTCTTCTGCATGATCTAACTTACGCGCTAAAAACTATCAAATGGCTGTGAGGACTATGGGCAATTTCAGCAGGGCTCTTTGCTTTATCGAAATGGTTTTTCTACTAACTGGAAAAAATATCAACTTTTGATAGTTTGCAAAGGAAAGCCTTTCCAGGAGTTCATGTTATTGCCACGCCCCTTAACAGTCAACCCTTTTCTAGCTGCTGCAACTGCATTAATCTGAATTAGTAATGGCACGGATGGGGTGGACTTGAAAAAATCCCTGACGCATTTGAAAAAAACACGGATTCGGCGTTTTGGTAGTGTTAAAAAAGCAAGTTCTACAACTAATCACGCATATTTTAAAAATACCAACACCCATTCGCTAGACAGCACTCGACTCTGGTGAAGAGGCGCCTGATTCACTAAAAACCGATGCGAGAGGAAGTGTTTGCTGCAGATTGTGGCACGGAGTAATGCGTGCGGACTGAGTGAGGGTCCTTCCACTCTGGCAATTGCGGTTCTCGTGGCACAAAGGGGAAACAAAGGGGGCGAGTGGGAGTCGATGCGTCCGGGTTTCGGTAGTGGTGGTGATGGTGGTGGGGCACAGGACTGACGCCAAACACTCTGGCCGCCGATTTAAAACTATAAACAACAGAACTGCGAGGAAAAGAAGGAGAAGGAAGACAAAGAATGCGCAGAGGACAAAAAAACTGAGGTCATTTTTTCGAGTTCCCTGTGCGGGTGTCTCAACTTCAGGGGCCACACCCCCATACTCGTCGAAGAGGTCGATGGGGTGCTGCTGTTGTAGAATTTGCTGCTCCCGCAGTGACGGAAGAACCGCTTCTAAAGCATGGTTTGATCGTACTTGAAAATTCAGTCGTAAGATGGCGTAGGATGCCAGTGAGGGAGTTCCAAGATCGCTAACCTATTTTCACAGAGAAGAGTCTCCTTTAAAACCGATTGCTTTACCTTGCATTAACAGTAATGAAGTTGCTGGTCGTGAAAAGGCGCAGACTGCAAAGCATCACATCCCAAATAAAACAAAGCTTTTGTAAAGGTCACTCAGCTTGTTTAAACAAGAACCAGCATGCCAGATTTGTCTAGGTCGTGTTCTAGAAATGTCGCTTGAAAAAGTGGCTACGTGGGTCTAATTTATTGAGACAGGCTAGTTAATTTTCAGCGGATCTTACTCAGCTACGTAAGGAGCCTCGATGCTAATACCTTTACGACACATTTGCACCAACTTTATATGGTCCCAGAGGCTGGTGCGTAGTGGCGTACTACTTCTTTTTGCTTTTGTTCACAATGAGGATCTAAATTGTACATGTAAAGGCCGAAGTTACGGAAGTTAATGGCAAAGGCATATCACTGAGAAAGTGAACATCGAATGGATTTGATGTGGCTCTGGGTTTGGTGACCTATTGTGCTGTTCTTAACAAAGACTTCGCGTTCTCGTGCACCCATTCCGTTAAAAACAAACTGGTTCTACTTGTAGTTGTCTAATAAGCTTGGCAGGATTGCAGCCTCAGTGGAAAAATATAGCTTGCGTTTAACACCTATGTTTGTGTGTTTAATCAAACATATCTAGATACTATATTCCCTGTTGAGCGTTCTGGAAATTATCATCTGTTAATGAAGCCGTTGAATTTGAATTTACCCTTATCCTAAGAGTATGAGTCTGTTTCAGGAGTAAGGGGACTTGTCCCAAGAATTCCAGGTCTTTTGGTTGTAAACTGTACTTAGAAACCACGAGACCGCTGAATGGATGAATAGCGAAGAGACTCGTTAGAGAGGAATCGGAGTCCTCGGCAAACGCAAATCGCAGTTCGCCGTTCTCGTTAGCATCGTAATCTGTGGCATGTAGCTGAATAAGTGGTTGTCCGCGGCTTATTGGTCTGAAACGCAGGTTAAAGCCTTTAAAACTTGGCAAATAAAAGAGATACTGCAAAGACACGATGTGGTCAATTTGTTCAGGTCCATCATCGCCTCTACCTGAGGGCTTCTGACTTGTTTCTCAGAGTACTGATTTTACCAAAGTCGCATTCACTTTTGAGAGCTGCGTTCATTCTTTAACCGTCATTAATTAATGCATCAACTTTGTACTGACGGATGATAAGACTTACTCACGGTGACGTTTTGCTGAGGAAAAGGCTATAGGTAACTCTAAATGTCAGTGAATTCGTTTTCAATAAAATGCAATGTCAGGAAACGTATTCATAGTAGGGCCTAGTTTGCATTGACAAAGGACATTGAATCAAGGTAAATCGAGGGCTTTCTGCACAAATCAACAACTACCAGTGTAGTGTACCTTACGACCCTCTAATTAACAGCTCGTTTAAACCCGAGAAGACGGGACAAAGAGGCGACAGAGAACACGACTGCGCCTTGTTGTCCCGCCAGCCAAGTGGCTGTGTGTGTGTGTGTGTGTGTGCGCGTGTATTTATACCACAGTGTGTGAGGCATACATGCGCGAACCCCGAGACCTAGGTGTGTGGATAATCGCGAGGCTGGCGACATGCTGCGAAAAGGGGGGCCCTGTGTCCGAAGCTGAAGTGCTCAGATCAGCGAGTTTGAATCAACGTAATTCACAACAGATTGATTATGAACATAGAGATCACGGGTGCAATTTCCAATAAAGGTGTGAAGTCTGGTACTTTTCCTGAAAGCACGGCAGTTAGGCCTTTGTCTCATGGATTTAGTGAGGCAATTACTTTGACGGGATAAAAGACTTAGCGCACTGTTTAGTTCTGACATCCTCAATGTACCACATGTGTATCAAATGGTATTATTCTGGCGAAGAAGCCCACCGTTGTGATGCGAGTGTATCCCCGTTACCACAACTCAACCATTAGCTACAATGAGACATTTTCTAGCATGGTTTCGGGGCTTAGACATAATTTTGTTCGCCTTAAACAGTATTTCCATCAGATTAACCAAAAGGGTACCATTTAAATTGGTTCATGAGTGAATCAACCTGCACATGTCTACTCCCGTTTTGTATGTGAATGAAGTTAAGTAAGGATCTAGCCAAAATTGCTTCGTTAGACACGTCGAATGAAGCCTGACTCGAAATTGATGTTTCCTGTCTCTAGCCAGTTAAAATAAATCCACAATTCGCCAACATGATGCTCAATATTCGTTTTGGATTTTCATTTAATAATGCTACATTTTGCCGTCAGCTTCAATATTGTCACCGTTATTGTGGTTGCCATTTGGGACCGCTATTTATGTGATTACACATGATTGCATGTTAATAGAACAAGCAAATAACTTGGGTGCTTTATCAGTGGTTTTGTTAATGCTGAAGCCCGTGTGAATGCGAAGGGAAGTGAAGAAATTTCCACATATTACTGTGACTGCAACAATATGAATTGGCTTAAGCCTTGATTTTAGCCAAGACAGTATAAAAATCTTCTGTTTGCATGTGTGTGTGGGTGCAATGTTAGAGTACGATCCCATAAACTGAGGAGGCAATTGAATAACGATGTTAAAAATCGGGAAGTACCAAATTAACCATGTTTTTTTTATGTTACAACATATTGCCATTTAAAAATACACTGAAGACCAATGTAGATACGAAGGACTGCCAGTCGTCATTTAAATCCACCTTTGACGTTTCAACGCATTAATGAGCTTAGAAGCGACTACCACAATGGCGCCACCCATATTGGGAATCGGCGCATTGACATGGTCCTCTGACAAAGAGAAACGCAGTAACGTCAAATAGGAAAGGAACAAAGGTTGCACAATTGCTTTTATTCACCAAACTAGAATGTGGAGCAATTTTCAGAACGCGATGTGGAGTGAAGAAGACGACAAGAACAGGACATGAAGAGAGTCTAATTTAAGTTGGTCTACCTAAGCAGCACTGCAAGCCAGTTTCGACTAATCATGGACACGATTTACCTCGGTTCGCAAAACACTCATCAGATGACTTCTGGCGAAATGGGCCAAATCACGAGAAAGCCACGAGAAGGCCTTCGTATCAGAGATAATCAAATTGAACAAATTTCCCCTTAGTCTAACACTTTTAGAATAGACCTTTTTTTATTCTAAAGGCATATTTACTGCACAAATGAGATTCTATTTACACATTTGCGTGCGTTATGGACATGATTCAGGCAGTTTCCCCTGAACAGCCCAGTCACAAGCGCAGCCGAACATGTTTTCAGTATTTCGAAATCACAGTGTATAATGGGCAATTAAAGTTGGTCTTTCGATTGTAGATTTGCATCACTTTCAGTGCCTCGAGTCAAATTAATGGCCTTTTTAAGATATGCGAAGATGAATTTTGTAGGGCATGTACTGGATTTCACAAGATCTATTAGGTCCGACTTTCGCATAAAAGTTGCCCTTCAAAATTATTACAAAACCAATGTATGTTTTGCGCTGACGACCTTGCATGGTAACTCTGCATAGTACCGATCATTCAGTGTATCAGCGTCTATTTTGTGAACTTCTGGCTATTGGACGAGGGTAGGTGTTATTTGTAAACACTTTTGAAAAATATTTGCGCAAACCTGATAAAATATGCATGTTTGATTAATTACTGTACCTTTCTATAAAGACAAATTTAATCCCCATTTACATTACATTATCAGCATTTTAGGAAAAAAGTAGTCAAGTCCTTCTCCATTGACCTAACCCTTGAATTGGGAGCAGAAGACATGTTATGTATTGCAATTGTGAGTGTCTCTGCCGTTGGAGCATTCGTAGTTGTGAAATTCACGTGGTTTTTATCACACTAACCTTATCTAACCCCCTGATCATTTTAGCCACTTATTTACGTGTTGCTAAAACATGGGTCAAATTCGATGTAAAAAAATAGGGTTACCTTAGATTCTCCAAGTAAGACGTCTGGCTCAGTGATTTCTACAACTTTTGATGTGAACATTAATTTTTGAAATGCGTTCACCATAATCATGACCGAATCTAATATTCGTCCAGTCTACGTAAGCCCTATTGTGCATGTGCGCATTTATATTTCTTTTCTTGCACGCATAGGCTTTAACTTTGACTCGTTATTGTGGTTTTAAAACCTCGTTTGTAAGCCTTGTAAAGGCCTCTATAAATAATCAGGAATATGTACAAAATTTTTCGAGAACGCTGAATTTTCTGTTGCTTGTCAATGTCAGCTTAAATTACGCTGTGTGCGTTTTTCCTGTTTACCCTTCTTATTCGCTGCAGTGAATTTTCGCGTTTGGTGAATCTTACCCATTTCTTTTGGATTGAAATTGTCGTTATGGCGTGTGTTCCCATATCGCCTTCGCCACTGCGTTGATTGTCTGGAAATGCTTAAAATATGATGTAAAATCTTCTTTCCTTTAACCAATTTTCAAAGTTAAATAGTTGGTTTAATTTGCATAAGACGCTTTAGCTAATGGCAACATCGATAGTCTTTGTTTTCTAGATGAGAAATACCACTTTTCGAAGTTCGATTAAACTATACTTTCTCTAGTGCGGTCTGAGTTTTTTAATACGCAGGCTTTTGAAAACCCTTAGTTTTCATTAAATCTCCTTAAAAGTACGTTCCGATACCATGAATGAGCATTCCTTTTAGCGAGCATACCCTTTATTTTTTTCAAGATTGTTTGTTTACAAATCATGCTGGAAAAAGAAATAATGTTATACTGAGGCATAAGTCCAAATACAAATTGTAAATGTAGAAGAGCAATAGTCTATCCGTTGCATGTCGTAAATTTAGAATAATTTTACGGAGTTCAGTTATCTTTTACATAGTTAAAACTAATTTAAAGCGTTAGAAAATCAAAAAGTTATACCTTCGGACAAAGAGATATTAATCTGAAACTTCCCACCTTGAAACATTAGACAGTCGGCGTTACGCTAAAAAGGCAGAACTTGCAAATGTTTTTTTTTGAAGTTAAATCGACTCACTAACACCACGTGATGCAATCACGATATCT